ATGTTAGATAAATACTGTCTGAAATTATATTCTCTTTTCTTAATGGAGTTGGTTTGCCGTGGTTTTTGTTGAGCCACATTTAAGCACCAAAGACAAAAGAATAATTAAATAATAACGCTTTATTTAAAGCATAATTTGTTAATTGACGACACTATTCAGATAAATTATCTGGAGAGAAATAAAAAAGGTTCCAATGATAATAATATTGAAAATAAATTAAAATAAAGAGTGAATTGACTCGTAAGCAGGTCAACATATAAAATGCTATTGCAATTTCTAAATGATGATTATAAAGAGGAAAGTTTTGAGAAAATCAATGAGTTTTTGACATTAACTTTATAATAAAATTATAGGAGATTTCATGAAGTCTGTTATGTATTTTGAATATTATATATATTTATATCATTAAGTATTATATTTATTAATATGTTATGGTGAATTCAAAAATTTAATTTTAGAATCCCCTCTATGATATCCCCTCTACATATAATTTCAGAATGCGTTGAGCCTACGTAGCAAATTCTCATGCTTTGAAATCTTATTTGCCAAAAAATCATGCTTTGGAGTTAGGCTTGGATATAAATTAATATTTGTATTAATTGTATTTTAATATCAGTTCCTATTATAACCATTGAATTGGAAATATATTTTAAAAGTTGATAACTTTTATATTTCTTATCGGTTTTACATATATAATATATCAAATTAATCATCTTTGGATGAGCTTCGATTTGACATCCATATTGTATATATAAAATAAATAAATTATATTTACCTTTATAATAATAATAAAATTATTTATTAAAATTCAATAGAAAATAAAATTATTTATCAATTAATATTTTGCTAATATTAAATAAACATATTCTACACTTATGAATATACATATCACCATAATATTTCTATTTACTTAAGATATATATTTTTGTACTTATGTAATAGTAAATAATATTGATATTATTATGATATAAGTAAAAAATTCAACACGGGTTGACATTTTCATATCCATATTGTATATATAATATAATTAAATTATATTTATCTTTATAATAATAATAAAATTATTTATTAAAATTAATTAGAAAATAAAATTATTTATCAATTAGTATTTTGCTTAATATTAAATTCAGAATGCGCTGAGCTTACGTGACAAATTCTCATGCTTCGAAATCCTATTTGGCAAAAAATCATACTTTCGAGTTAGACTTGGATATAAATTAATATTTGTATTAATTGTATTTTAATATCATTTTCTATGATAACCAGTGAATTGCAAATATATTTTAAAAGTTGATAACTTTTGTATTTCTTATGAATTTTACATATATAATATATCAAATTAATCATCTTTTGATGAGCTTCAATTTGACATCTATATTGTATATATAAAATAAATAAATTATATTTCTCTTTATAATAATAATAAAATTATTTATTAAAATTCATTAGAAAATAAAATTATTTATCAATTAATATTTTGCTAATATTAAATAAACATATTCTACACTTACGAATATACATATCACCATAATATTTCTATTTACTTAAGATATATATTTTTGTACTTATGTAATAGTAAATAATATTGATATTATTATGATATAAGTAAAAAATTCAACACGGGTTGACATTTTCATATCCATATTGTATATATAAAATAACTAAATTATATTTATCTTTATAATAATAATAAAATTATTTATTAAAATTAATTAGAAAATAAAATTATTTATCAATTAGTATTTTGCTTAATATTAAATTCAGAATGCGCTGAGCCTACGTGACAAATTCTCATGCTTCGAAATCCTATTTGGCAAAAAATCATACTTTCGAGTTAGACTTGGATATAAATTAATATTTGTATTAATTGTATTTTAATATCATTTTCTATTATAACCATTGAATTGCAAATATATTTTAAAAGTTGATAACTTTTGTATTTCTTATGGATTTTACATATATAATATATCAAATTAATCATCTTTTGATGAGCTTCGATTTGACATCCATATTGTATATATAAAATAAATAAATTATATTTTTTTATAATAATAATAAAATTATTTATTAAAATTAATTAGAAAATAAAATTATTTATCAATTAATATTTTACTTAATATTAAATAAACATATTCTACACTTATGCATATACATATCACCATAATATTTCTATTTACTTAAGATATATATTCTTGTACTTATGTAATAGTAAATGATATCGATATTATTATATGATATAAGTAAACAAATTCAATATGAGTTGATATTTTCATTTAATGTACAAGTGTTTACTTATTATGATTAAAAAAATATAATTTGACAATTTAATCAAAACGAAAGTAATGCTTTATATAAAATTAAATTATTTTAGTTTTTAAAAAAATAAAAAAATTTAATATTTTTTACAAAAACTTTCTAATTCAACACCCGTGTAATACACGAGTATTGCACTAGTTATATATAAGTTCATAATGCGCTGAGTCTATGTGGCAAAATCTCATCCTATTTGGCGAAAAATCATGCTTTGGAGTTAGGCTTGGATATAAATTAATATTTGTATTAATTATATTTTAATATCATTTCTCATTGAATTGCAAATATATTTTAAAAGTTGATAACTTTTGTATTTCTTATCGGTTTTACATATATATTATATCAAATTAATCATCTTTTGATGAGCTTCGATTTGACATCAACATTGTATATATAAAATAAATAAATTATATTTTTTTATAATAATAATAAAATTATTTATTAAAATTAATTAGAAAATAAAATTATTTATCAATTAATATTTTACTTAATATTAAATAAACATATTCTACACTTATGCATATACATATCACCATAATATTTCTATTTACTTAAGATATATATTCTTGTACTTATGTAATAGTAAATGATATCGATATTATTATATGATATAAGTAAACAAATTCAATATGAGTTGATATTTTCATTTAATGTACAAGTGTTTACTTATTATGATTAAAAAAATATAATTTGACAATTTAATCAAAACGAAAGTAATGCTTTATATAAAATTAAATTATTTTAGTTTTTAAAAAAATAAAAAAATTTAATATTTTTTACAAAAACTTTCTAATTCAACACCCGTGTAATACACGAGTATTGCACTAGTTATATATAAGTTCATAATGCGCTGAGTCTATGTGGCAAAATCTCATCCTATTTGGCGAAAAATCATGCTTTGGAGTTAGGCTTGGATATAAATTAATATTTGTATTAATTATATTTTAATATCATTTCTCATTGAATTGCAAATATATTTTAAAAGTTGATAACTTTTGTATTTCTTATCGGTTTTACATATATATTATATCAAATTAATCATCTTTTGATGAGCTTCGATTTGACATCAACATTGTATATATAAAATAAATAAATTATATTTATCTTTATAATAATAATAAAATTATTTATTAAAATTAATTAGAAAATAAAATTATTTATCAATTAATAAATTTATGTTTAATGTAGTTATATGTTATAAGGTAGAAAATCTATTATAATATAACACATATAAGTCGCACAAGTAACATGTGTCATACTAGAATATATAATAATATATACTCCCTCATATTTTTATTATCACTTTGGCTTAATTGACCATTGATAAAATAAATGTCGTTTTAGATATTTTGTTCATATTTTTCTATTTTTAACCCTCCATCTAATACACATCGTCTCTTTATATCCAATCTCAATCGTTTCTCATAACATCCATTAAATAGGATTGATATTGTCAAGAAAATAAAATCTTAATTAGTGTGTTGCATTTGAATTGATATTATGAAGTCCGTTTGTATTTTACTATTTATATATATATAGAATACAAAAAAGTAATATATATCCTTACAAATAAAATTTAAATTTATTTATCAAACTAAATTAAATTATATCAAATAAAACTATAAATTATATTATAAAGTAATAGAAATTGGTATGCATTCTTTTAAAAATGATATTTATTTCAAATCTAATTGGTATGTTGTCAATGTAATAAAAATAAATAAATATTTATATAAATTCTAAAATTACATATAAAGTTAAAAAACTGTGGAGCACGACTGATACGACACTTGATGTATTATGCATCTAATTAAGTAAAAAAATTAATCTATTTTGCTTAATATTAAATAAACATATTCTACAATTATGCATATACATTTCACCATATTATTTCTATTTACTTAAGATATATATTTTTGTACTTATGTAATAGTAACTAATATCGATATACTTATGTGATATAAATAAAAAAATTCAACACGTGTTGACATTTTAATTTAATGTATGGGTGTTTAATTATTATAATTAAAAATATAGTTTGACAATTTAATTAAAATCCAAAGTAATGTTTTATATAAAATTAAACTATTTTAGTTTTTAAAAAAATAACAAAAATTAATATATTTTGTAAAAGCTTTTTAATTTAACACCCGTATAATAC